TTAAGGTACACTCGGGTATTAACCTCTCCTTTTAGGCTCTAACTTTTGCCAAGGCGCCCGTTGCGGGTTTTCGACCTTGCGAGCTTTGTTTTTCTTTTCTTTTCAATTCTTTTCTTTTTTGATTTTCTTTTCTTTTGTTCTTTTCTTTGCATTTTCCTTCATTTTTCTTCTTTTTTTTTTCTTTTTTCTTTTGCATTTTTTGCTTCTTTTTTTTGTATTTTTCTCTTGCTCTAACTTTTGCCTGGGTCGCCCTTTCGGGTTTTCGGCCCAACGAGCCTCTCAAGGGTAAAAGTGTAGCTTTGTCCATGTCAAATGGTTTTGAGATCCTGAAGTCATCTGAATCCAGGAGAATGGCTGTTGTTTTGCTTTGTAAGCTTCTTCTGATGAGATCTGATCTTCTTGACCCGACTTCCTTGCCTCTTGTTCGAGGGCTGCTTTGAATCTGGCCACACAGGCCTCACATTGTAGCTAACCGTTGAACGTTCTGAATGGGCCCAAGGTTTGAAAGCAAGGACTCAAGTCTCGAGGCTGAGAGCGATCCTAAGCTGCACAATCTCAAGAGCGATTCCACACAGGTCTTCGCGGGATCGCGCAAAATATTTTATTTTTGAAAATTTTTAAGAAAGCGACAAATCGCTTGTGTTGAAGATAGTGTGAAACCAGTCTGGATCAAGCCAGGGTCCTTCTCAGTACTCACGCTAATAAGCATGATTTCATTTATTAAGGGCTTAGCACGCCTCTCTTTCTCTCAATTGATCAAAATTTTGCAAATCCGGAGGGATTCCTTCCTCTTCGTTTTCACTGCAGTGTTCAAAAAGTTTTAGAAAACTTAGGTCGATGCAATGATTCTGGGGTGCAGAAGAGAGCAGGTGGAATGCACTGCCATTTCATTCAAACTTTCTGGCACAACTGGCACAAAGCAGAAGCAAGCACAAAGCATGAAAAACCACTACTGTTTCATTCAAATCTGTTGGCACAACTGGCTCCCTGGCAGAAACAGACTCACAACAAAACGAAAAGACAAACACAAAATGGAATGGTGATGCCCGAGGTAACACCCCCCGGGATCACCTGACTCCTATACAACAGGACTGACTCGATACAACATAAAATTAACATTTAAATTTAAAAAAAAAAAAAAAAAAAAAAACAGACTCAAAACAAAACAACAAGACTGACCCAATACCCGAGTCAGAAACTGGCATTCGCAAATGCTCAAAACAGTGCCTGTCCTTCCCACATCTGGAGTAAATCGAGTGCCACCCGCAACTAGTTCATCCCTCAATCACATCACATTATCCCCCCCATAAGTTCACTGATCAAGTGCTGATGGACTTTGCTGGACTGGCGCGGGGATGACCCCGTTGTCAAACAGATCTTGTACATCATGGCGCAAACGAAAGCAACTGTCGGTGTCATGACCGGTTTGTTGATGGTAGGCGCAGTACTTAGTCTGATCATGTTTTGCAGGGATAGGATCGGGTAGGGGCCGTTGTTCCAACGGTTTCAGATGCCCTTTCCGGATTAAGGCCTCTAGAGCTTTTGACAAAGGCATATGGAGCGGGGTGAAAACCCTCTTGACTCGGGGTGGATATTTGGTCCCTTGTGAGCTACTTCCGGACGCACCGGTGAATGGGGTAGCTGTCTTTGATACGGTGGTAGCCACCATGCCCACGTCAGAAGATCTTGCAGCCGCATCACCACTGGTGGTTGCATTCGAACTGCGGGAAAACACCCTCCTGGGCTGTTCCTTCTCCTGGTCAAAGAGGCCCTGCTTCATAGCATCCTCGATCTGCAGTCCCATCTCGTGTAAATCTGAGAAAGTAGGAAAGGGGATTACAATCATCCTCTGCATTAGCTTGGGCTGGAGATTGCGCACAATCATCCGAATTTGATCTTTATCAGTAGGCCTTAGAGTCATCCCAACCAACCTGAAACAAACCTGCCTAACACATCCTATAACTCCAAATGAGAAAATAAAGGACGACAACAACAAAGGATGACAACAACAAATATACAATGATAGAATAAACGGAACCAAGTCCGGATACGATAATCAAATGGGAAAAGACCGGGGTCGCTATACACTCTGTGATTGGTCGAAATGTTTCATAACCAAAATCTCATTCCGTGAGTGATTAAATTTGACGGGAGCATGTTTCTCAAGGTTTTGGGCCTTCCGGATATGGACTCATTTATGATTTCTGCCTCATATTCTCTATACTATGCAATTTCTTCTAATAAGGAATTTCTTCTCATGAAGAAAGGCTATAGTTTTTTCTCCACTTGCTTTTTTTTTTCTTTTTCTTTTTTTAAAGTTCAAAATTTATTTAGGAGGTAAAAGAGAAGAGGAACCAATTTATTTTTTGGCAAGTGGGCTTTTTTGGTTTTTTTTTTTTTTGCTAAATTCAATAAGATAAAATGTCACATTTAAATTATAATAATTTCACTTTTTCTCTCACAAAAGTCAAAAAGTGAAAAACGCTAATCCAAACGAACATTTTAGCCTTAGGCTAAAATAGCTAAAAAGTTAAGAAGTCAAAAAACTAAAAAGCCAACCCACACTACAAAAAATTAAGATTTTAGAGACCAAAATTTATAGACAAAATTATTTTTTAGGGACCAAATATTTTTGTTGTGAAAAGTGTCGTTATTATATTTTTAGTAACGAAAATTAGACATTAGTGATGAATTATTATCTTTTTTGGACCAAATTTTTTGTCTCAAAAAATAAACCATTTGTCCCTAAAAATGTATTCATTAGTGACATTTTCAAAATTTTGTTGCTAAAAGTCTTATTTTTGACTTTTTAGGACGACATTTTAGCCACTATCCTCATGACAATAGAAATTGGTCCCTAAATGTCTTTTGCAACAAAAATTTTCGCTTTTAGAAACTAAAAAATTTGGTTTACTCTTATATGTTGTAGTGCCACTTCCCAAACGAAGCCTAGTGGCTTATTAAAAATTTAACCATTTTGTTTCTAGAAATATATATCAAATTGTCACATCCCCTGAGATTTCTGACAATTACATGGACCTTCCCTGTAGTTTCAATAATTACAGAAACCTCATTTACTTTTTCTGACATTGTTAAGATTCCCTCCTCCTGTAAATTTAAGTGAAACGGTGTTAACTTGATTGTGCAAATGACTATAATACCTTTACACTTAATATCCTTTAATTGTAATTTACCTATATTGTCATGATCCAAACCCGCCCCTATAGGTTTAGGTTCATGACATGCCAGTAATCCCAGATTACTTACAGCCTCTATTAACAAAATAAATATTATTATAATTATTGGGGCATAGCAGAAGCAATATAAAATATAAAGATGATCTATTGAGCTGTGCATATATGAAAAGATGTCATGTTATAGCTATGCAACCATTCTTTATATACATACATCATAGTAGATTTTAAGCATCTGATATATATATCAAACATCCATGACTTTACATCCAAGACAAACTTCAAAATATCAAACAAAAACAAAACAAAGGGGTTGACTTCGCTTGGCTCCACTCAAGCCCAAGCTTGCTTCATCTTGGAAGCACATCAAAAACGGCTTACACAGGGTTGACTCCAAGGCTCCCTCTAGACTTGATGCTGAGCTTGCTCACCCACATATATATATATAGTGAGTTAAGGCCCAGTGAGTAATAATAGTATAAAGGGTTAAATGAATGAAGTTCATCAAGATTCAAAACATAGTTTCCATTTCTTTGATCAACATTTCATTTAAGCAATGAATCCAATACATCACAATAGGAATAACAATCAATCGATTTACGTGGTACATCCAATAAAGTATCAATATATCTATAAAAATGGGACCGCAGGGATCAATTAATAGGACCACAACGGCCTAATCAATATAACATATTCAATGGGACCATTAAGGTCTAATATCAGAGATCTTTGTGTTTCATTAATCCAATGGGCCATGGTATCGTTTCCCCCATGCAAGGGCCTATTAATCCAATGGGTTATGGTATTGTTTCTCCCAAGCAAAGGCCTCACTAATGGATGTCACGAATACAATTCAAAAAAGAACTTCATTTATTAATAGACAATAGCATTTCAAAAACATCAATCACATAACAATTTCGAAAGTAAATATAACTTGAACATATCTCTATAAAGTTACTACTCACAGTAGATTACATCGATACTAGGCCTCGAACGTCTACCTGTACGAAACACAAAGCAAACACACATTGAAGTTCAATCTCAATTAACTGTTCTATCTTAATTCAATTCTCCTCTTGTGTGTTTCTAAATCTTTTTCTTATTAATGGTAAATGTCTAAGAATGTTCTAGGAAGCATGAGGATGCAATTATGCACGTGGAAGTATATTCAGAAAGTGCTGAAAATAGGGTTGTCCGCTCGAGCCAACTATTGGTCACTCAAGCGATCTGCATGGCTCGGCAAAACTACTGGATGCTCGCAATCTAGGCTCGAGCCAACTTTCTGGTCGCTCGAGCCAATGTTCAAAATATAAGGTGGTCACTTGAGCGATCATTAGGTCACTCGAGCCAACTACTAAACTCTGCAAAAATATTAAGAGCATGTGAAGTTCGCTCGAGCCACGAGTCCGTCGCTTGAGCGACCTGGACGATTTCTGGGTTTTCCAGAATTATGTTTGAAGTTCAAAACACATTTTTCAAACTCAAAGTTTGCATGGTGTAGACACCCCATTTTTGACCGTCCTCAAGACTTGGACGTCACCGTTTGAACACTCGGTGATTATCCATGTTTGTGTTCGTTTGGAGTTCCCGGAGGTCTCGGCTCGCGCGCCTTGCCTCAGGATCTCCGAACTCGACCGTTTAGTGTCTGGTTTTCATTGGAAAATGATGTCCATATAATTTATCGTAATTATACAAGGATCACAGAAATAATCCTTAAATCAAGGTGTGACTGACTTACCTCATCATCTGAGTCATCCTCAAATGAATCATCTGAATCATCATCATCAGACTCATCATCTTTTTTTGGCTCCACAACAGTCACCTTTGGCTTAGCAGAAGATTCAGGTTTAGCAGTTTTACCTTTACTTGCATCTGGTTTCACTTCCTCCACCTTAGATTCAATTTTCCCTGACAAATTTCAAAAGAAAAAAAATCAACAGTTTAGAATCTGATATAAAAAAAATAATTTAAAAAAATACTATACCAAATGAAAATACAAATTCTACCATTCTCAGTCAAGGGTAGAGGGATATCTTCATCATCACTTGAATCATCCGATTCTGAAAAATAAAATATTTAGGAAGAACCATTCAGCTAAAAGAATATGACACTTGACAACCATATCTACTCAAGGTATGTCTTAGGAACAGCAATCTGGATCATCATCAGTGGAGAGAGAACTCGTAACTAGGGTTTTGGAATCTGAAAGTGTATGAAAAACTGATCTGAAACACGCTGCTGCCTATTTAAACCTGACAGGCTCGCTCGAGCCAAGAATGCAATGCTTCAGGTCTGCAACCCTGGAGTACGCTCGAGTGACAGAATGCTCGCTCGAGCAAGGAACTCGAAAACATACACCTCTCTCGCTCGAGCGAAGAAAATCTCGCTCGAGCGAATAAGCACTGCCCTCAGGTCTATACCAGACGCAGTCGCTCGCTCGAGCGAAGAATATCTGGATCGAGCCAGAGGACACAAAAACAAACCTCGCTCGAGCGACCAAATCCTGACTCGAGCGACCAACCCAAAAACTGGACAGCAACACTTGGTTTACGAACCCAACCAACCTGAAACAAACCTGCCCAACACATCCTATAACTCCAAATGAGAAAATAAAGGACGACAACAACAAATATACAATGACAGAATAAACGGAACCCAAGTCCGGATACAATAATCAAATGGGAAAAGACCGGGGTCGCTATACTCAGCTTGCTCACCTACATATATATATATATATATAGTGAGTTAAGGCCCAGTGAGTAATAATAGTATAAAGGGTTAAATGAATGAAGTTCATCAAGATTCAAAACATAGTTTCCATTTCTTTGATCAACATTTCATTTAAGCAATAAATCCAATACATCACAATAGGAATAACAATTCAATCGATTTACGTGGTACATCCAATAGAGTATCAATATATCTATAAAAATGGAACCCCAGGGATCAATTAATGGGACCACAACGGGTCAATCAATATAACATATTCAATGGGACCATTAAGGTCTAATATCAAAGATCTTTGTGTTTCATTAATCCAATGGGCCATGGTATCGTTTCCCCCATGCAAGGGCCTATTAATCCAATGGGTCATGGTATTGTTTCTCCCAAGCAAAGGGCTCACTAATGGATGCCACGAATACAATTCAAAAAAGAACTTCATTTATTAATAGACAATAGCATTTCAAAAACATCAATCACATAACAATTTAAAGTAAATATAACTTGAACATATTTCTATAAAGTTACTACTCACAGTAGATTATATCGATACTAGGCCTCAGATGTCTACCTATACGAAACACAAAGCAAACACACATTGAAGTTCAATCTCAATTAACTGTTCTATCTTAATTCAATTCTCTTCTTGTGTGTTTCTAAATCTTTTTCTTATTAATGGTAAATGTCTAAGCATGTTCTAGGAAGCATGAGGATGCAATTATGCACGTGGAGGTATATTCAGAAAGTGCTGAAAATAGGGTTGTCCGCTCAAGCCAACTATTGGCCGCTCAAGCGATCTGCATGGCTTTGCAAAACTACTGGATGCTCGCAATCTAGGCTCGAGCCAACTTTCTGGTCGCTCGAGCCAAGGTTCAAAATATAAGGTGGTCGCTTGAGCGATCATTAGGTCACTCGAGCCAACTACCAAACTCTGCAAAATATTGAGAGCATGTGAAGTTCGCTCGAGCCACGAGTCCGTCGCTTGATCGACCTGGACGATTTCTGGGTTTTCCAGAATTATGTTTGAAGTTCAAAACACATTTTTCAAACTCAAAGTTTGCATGGCTTGGTTGAAAATCATGTAAACTCTTTGTATAACATGGAAACATGTTCAATTTGAAATCAATTACCCAAAATCATTATCAAACTCCCAAATTCAAACTTAAACAACCATATTTAAACCATGCATGGGATGAATTCTTTGGTTTCTTTTCAAAACTTAATCAAATGACATGAAAAGTGTAAAAACATAAAGAACTCTTCAAGTTAATGCATAAAAGTCCCATGCGTGTATGAATTTTATAGAAAATGTTGGCATGAGTTGTATTATTTCCAATTGTATTACTTCCATAAATATTTTCTTTTTTTTCCTTACATAGTTTTCCCTGTCCATATCTGTATTGACTTGGTGCCTACTCCAAGATCTCTTACGCCTATATAAGGCCTCTTGAATATTCTCTCTAAGTAATTTTTTATTAGAATAAAATTTATCACTTCATTCTTTTGTCTTGGTATCAGAGCAAAGTTCCTAACCCAGTTTAGATCTTGGTTCGCTTGCTCTAAAAAACCCAATCTCCAAACAAACTCTACCTTCGACATACTCCAATCATCGTGATGGATGATAATAATCAGCAAGTTGCTATAACAACTGGTGTAAACTCCAATCCTGTGGTGACTATCCAGAATGATTCCTCTGCTATTCCATTTGGAATCAAATTGAATGGTTCCAATTACACTATTTGGTCTCAGATGATGGAATTACATGCTGCCGGGCAAGGCAAGTTCGGCTACTTGACAGGTGAGACTCCTCGGGTGGACCAATCTGATCCTGGTTATACAAAGTGGCGAAAGGAGGACGCTATTGTTAAAGGATGGTTGATGAAAACCATGGAACCTGATTTACTTGGCCTCTTTCTTGGCTTACCAACTGCGGCTGACGTTTGGGAAGGTGTTTCTCAAATGTATTATGATGGATCGGATGAATCACAGATTTACGAACTACGCTGCAAAGCCACTCGTATAAAACAAAGTGGTCGTCCGATTCCCTTGTATTTTGCTGAGCTCAAAACCGTATGGCAAGAGCTTGATAAGCGCCGCCCGATTAAAATGACTTGTACTACGGATATAAAAGTTCGTCGGGATAAAGTTGTGAAAGATCGTATTTATGATTTTCTTGCAGGATTGGACGATGGATTTGATAAAGTTCGCAGCGATTTTTTGCGGATCCAGCCGCTTCCTGGCTTAGAGGAATCCTTTGCATATATCCGCCGTGAGGCTCAACGACAGACTATTATGCTCTCTTCTACAGGTGCCATTGGTACTCCGTCTGTTGCCATGGTATCCAAATCCCCTGGCATCCCGACATCCCGAACTCCTCGTTTCTCTGATATTGAAAACAAAGATGATTTGCATTGTGTATTTTGCAATGGTACTCGACATACAGCCGATAATTGCTTTAAGAAACATGGGTTTCCCGACTGGTATTTGGAGTGTCGAAAGCAACTCAAAGCTAAGCGCACGACTATACGTTCAAGCCATGCGAAACTTACCGACACTCTGGCTGGGGTTGCAGCAGTTGCAACCACAAGACCAACCACCCCTACTGTGCAACATTCTGGTCATCTAGCACCAGGTTTGTCCCTTATTTCTGAGCTCTCTCTCTCAGAAGACTCCCAAAAAGATGCTGCTGGAAAAGCTCTAAGCTCCTCCGAGGATCGTGACACAGGTTGGATAATCGACTCGGGTGCTACTGATCACATGACTTACGATAAATCTCTATTTCAATATGAAACTTCTCCTCGTCGAGATCGAGTAGTTACAGCCAATGGTGAAACTGACCTTGTTACAGGGGCGGGTTCTATTGCTCTTACTCCTTCATTGTCCCTACATCATACCTTGCTTGTTCCAGCATTATCCAATAATTTACTTTCTGTCAATCAAGTTACAGAACAATTGGATTGTATAGTATTAATGTTTCCTCTGTTTTGCTTGCTCCAGGATATCTAGACTCGGGAGATCATTGGGCGTGGTACTAAGAGAGGGGGATTATATTATGTTGATGATGTTGCAGCAGGTCGAGTTCATCAGGTGCGTAGGACAGACACTGAGAAGATGAAAAAAATTTGGCTGTGGCATCGTCGTCTTGGTCATGTGTCTTTCGGTTATTTACGCAAGTTACTACCTTCATTATTTCATAATGTCAAGGACTCTGAATTTAAGTGCAATATTTGTATTTTAGCTAAGAGTCATCGTGTTCCTTATCCTTTGAGTTTTAATAAAAGTATGGTTCCATTTGCTTTAATACACTCTGATGTCTGGGGTCCTTCCCCTGTTACTACTTATGCTGGTATTCGATGGTTTGTTACCTTTGTGGATGATTGTACTCGTATGACTTGGTTATATGTCATGAAACATAAAAGTGATGTTGGTCCAATTTTTCGAGTCTTTCATAAGATGATCCAAACCCAATTTTCACTACCTAGCAATCTATTTGAGCGCATTTTTAATTTATTTAGGAGTAAAAAGAGAAGAGGAACCTAGCAATTTGCATAGCACAACAGTAAGACTCGTACCAAAGTGTCATGTCTGGTAAGAAGCGCCTCATGCGCTAAACCAATCCTTGATCTCTGCTTACTGATTCTTCAAACACAGGCAACAGTTAATTATGGTAGGTGGGTATAGAGCAGTGTATATTTGGGGTGTCATTTCATTTGTTTAGTGGTTTTATTAACTAGTCTGATACTCAAATTGAGTGTATGCAAAGAATTTCTAAGTTACCAACTTCCCTTGATTTTAGTTGTGTGATCTGGTGCTATGTTCCAATAATTTATTAGTCACCTCATCTAGTGGCTTATTAAAAATTTAACCATTTTGTTTCAAGAAATATATATCAAATTGTCAATCTTTATCAGTACAAAAACTATGCAAACCAACTCAAAAATGTGCTGCTGCAGGCTTTGGGGGCAGCAACAGCAAATACATTTTAACTTCATTTTGTATTCGATTACAATCATACAAAATGTCCAAAACAAAAAATGTCTTCTTATTCACACTTGACTGTAGCAACTAATGCATTAACTTTAATTCAAGGAGTAATAATGTATTCACTGAGATTTCTTACAGAAGTGATGAACTTTGCAGGTCCAACTATGAAGGTCTATATATGATCAACAAAATTTTTGAAAATGTCACTTATAAAAGCACTTTTAGGGATAAAAACAATTTCATACCAAAATGTCAACTTTTTTAGACGAAAATTTTGGTCCCAAGAGACTAGTAATTCATTTCGTCGTTAAAAAATACAACGATGACACTTTTGGCAACTAAGATAATTCGTCGCTGAAAAGGGATTCTGTCCCTAAATTTTTCTCTCTAGCACCTTAATTTGTTGCAGTGTGACCAGATGCTACGATGCCTTTAGA